ATTTGTGTGTGTGTGTGTGTGTGTGTGTGTGTGTGTGTGTGTGTGTGTGTGTGTGTGTGTGTGTGTGTGGACAACAAAGTGCCTAATCGCTACATCACAGACGCCAGTGAGCATTATTTTAATATCGATGGGGGAAAGGAAACACACTATGGAACACATCCCCAAGAAGTGCAGGATCCTGAGAGCCCAAAGCAAAGTTTCACTTCAGGAGAAGCTGTGGTGGATGAAAAAATGACGGGGGGGAGGAGGAGGAGGAGGAGGGGGAGGGGGAGGAGGAGGAGAGAAAAAGAAGAAGATGAAGAAGAAGAGGAATAAGAAGAAACAAACGCAGAAAGCATGACAAAAAGCTGAGAAAAATAACTGACCACAAAATAAAGAATTAATTAAATTGGAGTCTGGACAAGGAATCTAACGCAAAAAACATTGATCTTTCAGGTAACATCTATGTATTTATTTTCAAGAAATGATTACAACATTCAGCAGCTGGAAGATTCTTCACATAATTTGACAAGATATTTAGCCTCAATAAATTGTCACAGGTACTTTTCATTAACCAACAAGAACAACCATAGCAGGAGGAGGAAGAGGAGTATGAGGAGGAAGAGGAATAAGAGAAGGAGGAAGAGGAAGAGGAGAAGGAAGAGGAGGAGTATGACGAAAAGGAGGAAGAGTAGAAAAATTAGTAGGAGCAGGAGGAGTATAAGAAATAGGAGGAGGAAGAAGAAGAGAAGGAGTAGGAGGAGTACAGGACGTGTATGAGACAAGAGCGAAGAGGAGCAGTAGCAGCAGCAACAGCAGCAGCAGCAGCAGCAGCAGGAGGAGGAGGAGGAGGAGGAGGAGGAGGAGAAGGAGAAGAAGAAAAAGAAATAGAAAAAGAAAAAGAAGAAAGAAGAGGAACTACAACTACAACAGCAACAACAGTGGGCAAAGGAAGTAAAGGAAAAAGATGAAGTAAAGGAGGAAGAGGAGGAGGATAAACAAAAACAACATTAAGAATAACATCAACACCAATGATGATGACAACACCAAAAACAGGCCAGAGAGGAACACATACCACAGGCAAATATGCATACACAAGACAGTTCTATGTGCTGAGGTATACAGTAGTGCTGATCATGAAGCAGAATAATAAATAACAGTAACGAATAATACTCCTATTTCATACAGTCCATTTTCTCTGGCCTATTTCACACATTCTCTCCCTCATCCCCCCCTCTTCTCTCTCTCTCTCTCTCTCTCTTTCTTTCTCTCTCTCAACTTTACTCTCTCTCAACTTTACTCTCTCTTTCAACCTCTATCTCTTTCTTTCATCCTTTCTCTCTCCCTCTCCCTAAAACAATTACACACACCTACACACACACACCTACACACACACACATACACACACACACACACACACACACACACACATACTAAATGGCTCGAAAATCAACATAAATCCTCACAGATTTGTGGGTGCTTACCAAATAACAAAATGAAAGAACCTGACAAATAAAAATATTTTAATGAAGTGAATGTGAGACAACAATTTTACAAAAATATACCAATCTCCCCCCCACCCCCCACCCCTTTCCCCCCTTGCCCTTCATACACAAGCATGTTCACAATATGCCTATAAATATGATATATATACAAATGTATACATTTCTCCATTTATACTCCCTCAAGGTGTACATGTTGACTTCACCTAAATTACTATAATATCACATGATTAGCCAAATTAAGGCATAATAATATATCCATCCCTCTCCCCTCACAAAAACAAAACACATTATCACATTATTCGGACTCGAATATTGTGCCCAGTGTGAACACACATTTTTCACAAAAATACACTTTTATCCCTGGTCATCTACAAAGACTGGACTCGTACACATGAAACTAGTCATAGATAGCCACACATGGACTAAACGAACGTACTTGGTCATATGCAAATTACATGGAAATTAACCAGTGATGTTCTAAGAAGCAGTAATATGCAACTGCACATCCAAATTAGCAGCATCTATGGTACACCGCTTAGGCTCTTCACAGTCTTACACATAATAGGTCAATTTTTTAATGAGTGAGTATTTTCATCTGTCTGCTGTGATGTTGTATCCCTCTGAGGTTGAGATGACCCACAGTGTGTTGAAGGGTGTAAAACATTTACGATTAGCACAACACCAATCATTAACCAAATTAAAGCTTCAATATAAACATTTTTGGATAACAGCAGAACAATTTTTTTTGTGCAACCCTACTCAATTTTCAGTACCCTACATGAGCCGTCATCATCATCTCCCTTCCCACCTTCCCAAAATGTTCTATTTTCCTTCACTTGCTGTGCACACACATCAAATTTGTGTCAGCGCCAATCAAAATCAGCTATTAGTTGCGCTGAGCTATTCCTAACAGGTGGATTTTTAATTTTTGTTATCTCTTGAAAGTTTGATTTTTTTGGTTTGATTTCATATAAAATGAATAACTTTACTCTTCAATATGTAATTTTATTTCTACTTATTTCTGAAAAGAGTCAGAGTTGAGTTTGACGTAATACATTGCTCAACTTTGGAGTACCTTTTCTCATTTTCATGTTTCCGCACTTTGCGGTACATGTATTCATCATCAACATTGCCTTTCTCCCCCTGGATCAGGATATAGGCCACGAACAAACACTTTCCACCTTTCGCTATCTTGGGCTAGCTGCTTGATGTTATTCCATGTCTTCTCACTTTTCTGTACATTTGTGGTATTGAAGGTTCCATATTTTCATTCATAAATATTGTCTGACTGACTTCATTTGGGGGGGAGGAGGTGATAATGTTGGGAAAAGGTGATAATTTTTTTTACAGTAATATCTACTCAATTAGTAAAATTTCTGACTGATGTGTAAGTTGGAATGGCACTGACACATTTCACTTTCAAAAGAAAAATGCACAACATGATGTCAGTATAAACACAAACACCACACACACACATACACACAAAAACATGTACGCACACACACACACATACACATACACACAAAAACATGTACGCACACACACACACACACACACACATACACACAAAAACATGTACGCACACACACACACACACATACACACAAAAACATGTACGCACACACACACACATACACATACACAGAAAAACATACACACACACACACACACACACACACACACACACACACACACAAAATGTAAACACAAACACCACACACACACAAACACACACACACATACACAGAAAAACATACATACACACACACACACACACACAAACACACACACACATACACAGAAAAACATACACACACACACACACACAAAACGTAAACACAAACAAACACAAACACACATCAGCCCAAAATAATAATGGGTCTTAAGTTTTCTACGCTACAGCAATGACTTTCCCATGAGAATTCTGCTACAGTTCCCAGTAAAAGTTTTATTATACTAAGCATGGCAAACAAACAGCCAATGCTACACCTTCTAACAATAAACCTGACACACATGATCACATCAGAGGAACATTTATAAGTCAAGACCAATCAGCCTACGTCATGACGTAGCAAAAGGGTTATTTCTAAACCAAAATCACATGTGTCTTCTACGTTTCTTTAAAATCCCAATCAGGATGCTAATGGTCATGTGATAAAGTGTAACCAAACACATTGAGAGAGTAGTTATGACTGAAAATGAAAACATGACAAGTTGTAATTAAAGTAAAGCGGAAGTTCCTTCAATGACTGTTCAGCTCGACGATGCCAAGATATATTATCTCAGTCTTCATTAAAGTTGCTGTTACTGACTTGTCAGAAAGATTTCATCCCCATCTACACAATTCAGACTGTTTACAAGGTACTTTAGTTTTAGTAAGAGTTTTACGGCACTTGCAACACAATAAGGTCATTTAAGTGCCGAAGATTAGAGGTGTTACAAGAGAGTAACAAACACACACAAAAAAGCAGGGGAGATAGAGATGATAGATTTTTTATTGGAAAGAAGGAGCAAACCATACCAGAGCTTGTTTCTACCTGATCTGTCAGGGCTAACTCATGTAGTGCATGATACACACCAAAAAAAAAGAGACCCAGACAGTCGATAGAATGTCTACCCCATGTCAGGATTTAAACTTACTTCTTTTGTGTGCATGAAAAAGAGCCTACTACAGACACAGGTATCTACAGCATGAAGTTATAAAGATGATATGAGATCACTTGCAAAGTAGACAAAAGTCAGCTGAAAGAAATACCACCCACAGCTCAAACTTGACCACACTTGAACCTCGGTAGAGTAGGGGGAAAAACCATGAGGAGTGTCTTTCTCTAGGTCACAGTTTCAAACTTGATGCAATCACGTTTTGTATCCCTGACAATTTGGATCATGAGTCAGAAACCCGACTACTACTGGCCTGGCTATTTTGCCACTGATGTCAACACTGCTGCGACAATAAGCCCATCCGAACAAACACTTCCTCCTACTTCTGTTACATAATTTATCTAACAGTGGTCATAAACCTGTTCTCATATGCAGAACCATGGTCCTCCTGATAACAATCACGAGTGAAGGTTTTTCCCATCGACTGACTCACAACAAGCCACAGATAATCACCACAAAGGATTCTTTACAAACATCCCGCGCCACTCAATCATCTCTGCCTCCTCGATGCGCCTGGTCAAGAAGTTCACTGTGTTTTCCAGCTTGGAAATTTCCTGAAACAAAAACAAGAAAGTCATGAAGAATATAGAAATGATTATCTCCAACAGGAGGAAAAAGTTACTGATAGACAAAACTTACTATGGAGCATAAAACATTTCTCCAATATTAATGGTACCTACACATCAGCAGAATAATTTGGTGTTGGCAAAATATAAAATCTACATGTATATGTGTGTGTGTGTGTGTGTGTGTGTGTGTGTGTGTGTGCGTGTATATGTGTGCGGGTGTGTTTATGCGTGCGTGTGTTTGTTTGTTTATGTGTGTATATGCATGCTCCTATGCTTATGTGTGTGTGTGTGTGTTTGTGACGCCGCGCGCATGTGCCCGTGTGTGTGTGTGTGTGTGTGTGTGTGTGTGTGTGTATGTGTGTGTGAACGTGACACACAGCTTGACTCTACGACCACAGGCTACATTTTCACAAAACAGCATAGAACATACCAGAGAATAAGAAGAGGAGCTATTGAAGTCTCATGACATTTTTTGCATGAGAGGAAAGGATACCATGGCACTTGCAAAACAAATAGGTCATGTAAAAGGGGAAGATTAGAGGTGTTACTTAAGACTAACATGTACAAAAAAGAAGGAGGTGAGATAAGGATGATAGAAGTTTAATAGGAAAGAAATGAGGGAATTTATACCTTACAACATAGGATGAACAATAACACATTTGTAGATATACCAATACATAAATTTTAAAAAGCACTTCTATTTCCCCTTTAAAAATTCTTTAAAAATTTGTCCACCATTTGTTTGTATTGGTTTAAAAAAGTGTAGCAACACAAAAACGACACTGTCATACTGTCAAAATCAAAACAAAGATGACAAACAGAAATAACGAAGAGAAAAGGAAAGAGTGAGTACAAAACTTGGTTAAAGATGTGTAAGCGTGAGGTTTAAGTCTGTCTCAGTCTAGAATGCCATGGTGATCATGAACTGTGTTCAAAATGACAGACAGTAAAGGGTGATAAAAAAACAAACTGTACAACTTTTTTTTATATCTCGCACAAAATTTGTACAAGAATGTTGTGATTTGGAACATACATAATTCATTCAAAAGGAATTTGTTTGACATAAAATTCACAAAGAAGAAACTTATTTTCGAAAATGGAAATGGCTTTTATAAAAAACAACTATAAATGCAAAATGCGCCATTTTAAAAGATCTTGTTAGGAAAGCCATGAAATGATTGGTTTGTTTTTTCCTTTCCTTTAAAAAAATCTAATCTTTCCATCACTGTAACCTTTCAACAATATTTCTTTTCTCCTACAGAGTTCAAAAACATTTTTTTAAATTCTGGAATTGCGTGAACCAATGGCCTATATGTCCTCCTTTGGACTCGACACATTACGCATTGTTCGTAATATTCAGTGGTGGTCAAACACAAGGATTTACTCAATCATGAGTACTCAAAGCTACACACACTGAACACCTTACAGTATGGAGCTGTTTCTAGAGACAAAAGGGGGGGTGGGGGGGGGGGGAGTTTGCCCAAATATAAATCATTTGTGGAGTCGATACATGTATAACCTGAAAGGTGAATATGGGCTTTGCCAAGGAACCATATGTCATACAGGAAATGTTCCAGCTTTTCAAGATGATTGAGGAATCATGAACACCTTGCTATCCGTTGAGAGCTTCGTGAATGTGAAAATGGTACAGACCATTGAGATATAGGAAAGTCACTGCTGCAGACATCGTCTACGGACAGACATCTCATCGGGCTCATCTACTGAATTCTGCATCTTAGTGACACTTAAAGGGGTGCAAACGGTGTGTGTTTGACCTGAAGCGGTCCTTTTGTCTGTGAATTTTTAGTTCTGATTCCGTACAGCTCCTAACTAATGGACCATTTCCACCCTTGACATCAAAGAAGGCCTTAAGGGCACTTTAAACTTTAACATTATTTCCGTACCTTGAGCGCAATTTACACAATGAGTTGGTGGTGAGGAAATATTCATTACAAAAGCTCTGTGCTCTTTACTGATCTTAACCATGAGCTTAGCAGGCAAAGGAAACTATGTGCAAACTTCTGTTGGCCTGTTAGACTACTGTAGTTTGCAATATGGCGTAATCGTTGGGATTTATAGTGGTAGGCCTAATGCGAACTAGTGCGTCATGTTACAAAAATGGGGACATAGCTGAAATTGGGGTGTTTTTTTACGAGCTTCGTAAAGCAAAACTGTCAAGTGGACTTATCTAAAATTAATATCAAACAAATTCCTTTTGACTTCCACATGTTGCGTACAAATTTGAAACGCAAAACTTCAATGTAGAGGAATATATTAACAAAAAAAGTAGTACCGGTTTTTTTTTATCACCCAGTATTATGATAAGTAGTTTATTTGTTTGGGTTTTTGTTTACAATACTTCAAGAAAGAGGGAATGCTCACCTGATAAATTTTATCATGTCTCATCTCTTGCATATTCTCCATTGTACTTTCCAAGGTGTTGATCTAAACCAACAACAAAAAAAAAAAAAGAAGAGAGATAAGACATCTTCAATTGGTAAAAGAAAACTTCATTCTCCATTCAGAAAAACTCTGACAAGAATCTTGCCAACAACAAAGACCAAACATCATATACAATCAAATACACAGCTGTGAAGGTGAAGGTGATGAGAAAATTGACAAACAGGGGTGCTAGCAATTTAGCAGTGCTTAGGCTGCCACAGTCACAGCCATAGGATAGTGGGCTTGAACCCCTGTCTGTGCTCATTGTCTTATCTTGGGAAAAAGACACTTTACACAAATGTGAGGCATCACGGTGAAATCTTTTTCTTTCTTTTAGCAAGTGTTTTACGGCGCTCGCAACTGCATAAGGTCATATGAGCGTGTGGGCCAAATTAAACCTTTTCAGTTGGTAGGAAATTTTGAATTTTGCCGAGGTGGTGGCAAAAGCCTACTCTTATAAGACCATCAAGGGATCTTTAACGCGTGCAACTTGCACACGGGACCCCTGAGATTTTTCACCCTTGTCCGAGAAGGCTAGGTGCAGATCTTTCCTACCACAAGATTAGGAGTGTGGCTGAAAGACAGCAGTAAGGAGCCAAGGAGTAGCAGTAGAAAGAATGCAGAAAGAGTCAGGAACCCAGAGGTGGGGGCAAAGGAGCTGAGGGGGTGGGAGTAGAAAGTGGAGATGAAAGCAGACAACAGAACATTGCTAGAGAACAGGAAAGGAGGTGAAAGGAGACAATTTTGAATAAAAAATTTTTTGGGTTGCTACCCGGATTCAAGCCTGGGACCTTTGAATGAGAGGTGAACACCTTAACCTCTAGGCCACGAGAACCCCTATGGTGAAATCAGGGGTTCGTCAAAATAATGAAATTGAAGAAACCGATGTTTTTCCATTGTAATGCAATTTTTATTTACTTTTTTGTTTTGGACTCAACACGCTTTACGTTCATTAAAAAACACATTCCTATGTGGATTTTACTGAAAAATGTTGATCAAAGACATTAAAAAAATGTAACTTTGTAGTTTCCTCGGACAATACAGTTTTGGAAGGTACCAAACTTTGATGGCCATTTTCCCATTAATTATACCTCTGACAGAAGGCGATCCCTACCTCCTTTAGTCGCAAATATCTAAACTTCTATTAAAGATGAATGAGTGTATTTTTTCATCAAAAGGAAGGCAAATGAATAGGCTTTAAGATAGTTCCAATAACTCCATATGTCCAAAAAGTGACAAGTGCCTGATTCCACCGCGGAGTGACATAAATGTTCCTCTCTTCACCTTGGTGGAAATGGATACCTGGCTAAGACAGTAAGAGATTTTGTCAGTATGAGCCTCTGCAAAACAGCGTCTTGCACTGAAGCTACCCATCCCAGGAAGAACAACCTGGAATGATATAGTTACCATTACTAAAATGCACAAACAGCATACTTTCCAGCAGGGAAATATGATGCATTATGTAAATGAAATCTACTGCTATTTAATTTCTTTGGGTGCACTAGAAAAGGACTCACCCTGTCCTGCACATCCATCACTCTTTCCTTTAGAGACTCTGCATACTGAGTCAGCTCCAGTGAATTGGGAGCCGGTTCCACTGAGAAAAAAACAAATAAGCCATAGAGAACAATTTTCTGCACAGCAGTCTTCTTTCCCTCCTCCTCTTTCTTTCTCTTCTGTTTCTTCTTCTTCTTCATCTCCTTCTTTCCCTTCATCTTCATATTCTTCTTCCTTTTTTTGCTACTTCTCTTTTATCTTCCTCCACACTCCCTACCAACATATCAGAGGTACACCACTGTATGACCTTCAATTTAAAAAGACTTCATTCAATCATGGCTTATCTACCTGAAAGAATGAAGGCTCCAATGTCCTCAAGCTGCCGTATTTATACAAACTAGAGATTCAACAGTTTATGATACATTTCAGAACGTTGCAAGGACAACCTGACCGTACTGTACACCAAGCAGGATTTCTCTTCCTCATCTCTATAATAGAGTGTCCTTAAGGTGAGGAACATGCACACAAGATCAACAACTTATCTGTCCTTTTCCTGAGAAAACTTAACTTTCTAGGAACAAGAGAAAAAGGAGTCTTGGCCATCTAACAACGGAGTCTGCTCAAACCAGGAACTAAACCAGGAACCTCGACATATGAGGAGAATACAGTGGAATCTGCTTAAACTGAACAGAGTTAACCCGAGAACAGAGGAAAACCGAAAGAAAATATAATCACCAATTTTTCCCTCTTTGTCTTTATTAGAAAACTACCGTTTCAACAGAAAGCTCCTACTGCTACACCCAAAAGAATTTAGAGGTTTACCCATACCTAAATCTTCAATAGCAACCCTTTTCTACACTTACTTTTCAGATCTAGTGGCAATTTGAGTTCTAGCCCTTCGGCCTGAACATAGCAACCCTTTTCTACACTTACTTTTCAGATCTAGTGGCAATTTGAGTTCTAGCCCTTCGGCCTGAACATAGCAACCCTTTTCTACACTTACTTTTCAGATCTAGTGGCAATTTGAGTTCTAGCCCTTCGGCCTGAACATAGCAACCCTTTTCTACACTTACTTTTCAGATCTAGTGGCAATTTGAGTTCTAGCCCTTCGGCCTGAACATAGCAACCCTTTTCTACACTTACTTTTCAGATCTAGTGGCAATTTGAGTTCTAGCCCTTCGGCCTGAACATAGCAACCCTTTTCTACACTTACTTTTCAGATCTAGTGGCAATTTGAGTTCTAGCCCTTCGGCCTGAACATAGCAACCCTTTTCTACACTTACTTTTCAGATCTAGTGGCAATTTGAGTTCTAGCCCTTCGGCCTGAACATAGCAACCCTTTTCTACACTTACTTTTCAGATCTAGTGGCAATTTGAGTTCTAGCCCTTCGGCCTGGACATAGCAACCCTCAAGCAACCAAAGCCATCCAGTCGTGCACGCTTCAGGAGAGTGAAATGAAGAGACACGATAACACACATGTGTGGATTGTAAGCCTGAGAAAGGCCTCGCCAGAGTACTATTTGCTCAAGTTTATTACACACACCTTTTGGCTTATTCACTGAGTATAGTCTCGTACCTCAAGGATACTGAATGTATGTCGGTTACGCTACATTCCGTTAATCACTGACTATAGTTCCTGCAAAGTTAATTCAAAGAGATCCTACACACGAGCATGGTGACAGCACATGGTGTGTTTCAAGACGTCACCGGTATTGGGCTTTCTTTAACACTTCTCTATCTACAATTTCATCCGTGCTGTGCGTGTGACTGTTTAACAGATTAAGGCAAGCTGACATGTCAAAGAGAAACCACAATCTGTTCCAAAGAAACTTTTCAACACATGTCACAAGGGTCTTATATATTCATATTTATCATATATTTCAGTCAAATCTAAGGTTTGGAACATTTACCAAGCTCCATATTAGGATCAATGGAACAACCTTAAATGTAAAAGCTTCATCTTAACCCCTTGCAATCCTAGCTGCTACTGTCTCTAACAACAGAATAAAGCTAAATATATAGCTAGTCTGGCAGCAAAGGAGTTAAACCCAAAAAAATAACAATGTCGACCAAGTCTGATAAGAAATTCGTCTCCCACAAAAGCCTCTCTCAAATTACAACTTTCAAACCCAGTATAATATCTGAATCTTCTCCAAAATGATTAAGAAATTTGGTTATTTTGAAAAAGCATTTAAAGCCAAGAACTGCAAAGAAAAGTACATGTATTCCTTTTAGCACCCTTCATCTATCCAGAGGAGAAAATTTTTGCTCTAATACAAATTTGAAATATTGTGGAGCTTTATTTACATGTGAGCTCAACATGGGCCTTAAGCTCTGACTTCTGATGGCACTTTTCCCACAATCCAGTTTCAGTTAATGATGAGAGAAACCCAGCCTCAAGGTCACAAACTTAGCAACTCACCTGACTGAAAATGCCGGACAACCTCCAAGGTAAATGGGCTGAAAGGAGAAAAGAAAGAGAGAAAACGTTAGCACCACACTCATTTTTTTCAGGGCTTTATTCAGTTACCAGGAAAAAAAAAATATTCAGATTTTGCACAGGCAGAACTCTTTAAGGAATCACAGACTGGAGGCCCTTTTAGCCAATACTTCTTTTCTCCGAGCAGTTATGTCTCTTTTGATACTAAAAAAGTCAACTTTTTCCAGAAAAAATGGCTCTTTACCACTTCTTTTGCCCTGTGTCTCCCTCTGTATAAAAATAAAAGACCAGAGTAGTCCTCCTTTGATGTGCGAGTGGATACTCGGAGTGCAACAACATAAAGTGTTTTAAAAGAAATAAATGATTTCACATATTTTTTATTACACAATTAGCACAATACATTATATCAATAATTCCACATCAAATGAATATAAGAAGTAAGCTGCACAGAATTGCACGCACGCGATGCATTTTTTTTTAAGCTTAGAGCAATGTAGGCCATGTTGTAGCATTTATTTATACAAATACCGCAGTAAATTGAAGCTGCTAAACATTTGATTCTGAGAGTCATATCCATTGACTAAAAACCATTTCTCTCCTCTGCCCACCCCCCATTCTCTCTGTCTATCTGTCTGTCTGTCTGTCTCTGTCTCTCTCTCCAAATGGACATCTTTAAAACAACTTAATTTAAGGTCTGGATATATCATCAGCAATTAGTAGGAGTGGAGATTTTAACTCCCCAAATAACTTTCGAGCAGAAATCAACTTGAACCAACCTCAAAGTGATGATACACGATAATTAAGCCCTATAATGGTGGTGGTTTATTTGGACATTTCTAAGAAGAGTTAGCATAAAAATGACGGGGAAAAAGATCAGGTTATTCAAATATGAAGTATCAGGTAGGCGTGAACGCATCTAAGAGAGGCAAGCTCGTTAACAAGTTTTAAAAGGTTGTTGAAATGTCACGTGCGCGTCCAATTGTACTCTAACCCTACGCCTAGACGGTCAGTATAAGAATGTATAGCTAGCCCATTTAAAGAGGAGAGATAGTGTCTTTATGAGCATTTGTGTGTGCGAGTGTAAGTGTTTGTAAGAGAGAGAGAAAGAGGGAGAGAGAGAGAGAGGGAGAGAGAGAGAGAGACAGACAGAGAGACAGAGAGACAGAGAGACAGACAGACAGAGAGAGAGACAGACAGAGAGAGAGACAGACAGAGAGAGAGAGAGACATAGAGAGAGAATGTGTGTGTTGACAGGAGCAATTAACACCTATACATCAACTACAACTACAAGAGAGAAAGAGAGGGAAAGAGAGTGTGTCGACAGTGTGATTTTAAAAAACATATAACAACTATGACTATAACGACAAGAAAGAAAGAGAGCAGCGGAGTGTATGTGTGAGTGTGTGTCTGTGTGTGTCTGTGTGTGTGAGAGTGTGCGTGTGTGTGTATGTATGTGCGTGTGTATGTATGTGTGTGTGTGTGTGTACCTTTGTGTGTATGTGTGTTTGAGCTTTAAACATATACAATCATAACTGTGAGAGAGGGGAGAGAGGGGGAGAGAGGGGGAGGGGGAGATACACACAAAACACAGAGAGAGAGAGAGAGAGAGAGAGAGAGAGAGAGAGAGAGAGTCCAGGACCAGTATACCTGTAGAACAAGTACAACAAGAGGGATATAGAGAGAAAGAGCATATTCGAAAGAGCAAGGGAAAGAGTGATGGATTGAGACAGAGACAGAGACGGAAGGAGAAAGAGAGAAAGAGAGAGAGACAGAAAGAGAGAGAGAGAGAGAGAGAGAGAAAGAGAGAGAGAGAAAGAGAGAGAGAGAGAGAGAGAGA